TAGGCTGGGTAACTTGGTCAGGCCCTGTCTCAAAATAAAAATTAAAATAAAAAGGGCTGGGGATGCAGCTCAGTGGTACAACTCCCATGGGCCTGATCCCCAGTGCTGAAAACACAAAACAAAACAAAACAAAAAACTCTTGTGATTTTCAATATGTTCATATTTTAATTCACAATGGAAAAATATGTTCCAAAACTGGAAACCCATAGTACTTGTGTAAACCATGGATGATTTAAAATGTGATGTTATTTTGATGATGTTTTAAATTTTAAAGTCGCATTTTATTCTGATCAGAATTTTTACCAAGATGTTGAGCTTTTGTTTTTTGAAACTACTTTGTCATAACATATTGTGCATAATCACAGCATTTATTTTGTAGGACTAGTGTGACTTATGTTTACTGCTAAGGGAACAATTATTTATAAAATAATATTAAATCCAACATTAGCTGCCTATTTCAGACACTTAATACTTGTAGATATCCATGTTACACTTACCGCACTGAAGTTTTTGTTTTTAAAGAATAACCCTCTTTGTTGAAAATAATTGTACTCTGCGGGTGTGAATATTACTGTTCCGATAAGCATGTGATTTTATTAAGGTGGTGGGAGAGGGAAGATAATCTTGATTCCATTGGGAATCTTAGATTTTCGTAAATTTATTGGGAAAACAGTTTTTCCTGTACAGCTGAAGTTTCTTTTTGGTAAACAGTATCTTTCTAAAAGAAAAAGCATGAAGAAGAAATGGAGGTATATATAGTATGTCCTCAAATGACCAGCAGTGTATTACAGTGAACAGTGTGGAAGCTCTTCATTTTTCTGAAATGAAAAATTAAAAAAAAAAAAAAAAAAAAAAGAACTCGTGACTGAAAAAATAGCACTGGGTCTTGTTTTGAGCTGCTGTTGTTAGTTGGTAATGCTGTTTTTCTGCATAAGAAAAAACTCATATTCCCCTGTCTCAATCAGGCCAGCTCAGAGCAGCTGTAATTGTAATTACCCTTATTTACCTCTGGCACATACCTGGAAGACTAGGCCACCCACCAGGAAAGAGAAAGAAATTCAGGGACCAGATCTTTGTCATTCCTGTTCATAAGGACACTGCAAAAAGATAAGATGAGACCTCTGCAACCAGCCACTGACTAGTGGCTACCTGTTTGCTGAAGGTTGTTGAATTTTCTAACATTACTAGAGCACTTGGATGGGATCTTTAAATGATCTCCATCACAAAACACCAATCAGCTCTACTTTGAGTAAGTAAGCAGCATAGTTCATATGTGGTCCTTAGTATTCCTTCCCTCTCCGGATGCATTACGTACGCACAAACCTAATTACATGATAATATTTACTTTTCAGATAACTCAAGATGGAATTAATTTCACACTTCAAAAAGATGTTTGATTTTAAAAGAGAAATAAAGTGTCTTGCTAGAAGAAGGGGATTCTTAAATGGCAGATCACTTCTTTCCTTCCCAATTTCATAATTCTGTCCTGTTAACTTGCTGTCTCAAGAACACTGCACCTGAGGTGTTCCTTCCTGAAACATTCTCCTTGGGTTGTTAATATCTCATTGTGATCTTAAGCCCCAGGAAGATTTCATGACCCCGTAAACCTCCTAATGACCTCTGATAGATATTCCTATAAAAATACAAACTATACTTCTTTATTATACTGATGATATTTGATAACTTAAAATTACCCCTGTAAATGCCTAACAATTATCTTGCCTTCTAGAATTTGGACTCCATGAGAATAAGGTCCTTATCTAACTTCTTCATGACTACATATCCAATGCTCACACTACTACACATTTGTACGAGTATCATAAATATTTGTTGATTATGTATAACTGAATAAATGAAAATGTGGGGCTCTCACTACGATTCCTTTTTTAAAAGACAGCAGCAACTTTCTGTTTAGTCTTTTGAAGTAGTAAAGAAGACAGCAGAGCTCCTAAATTAAGAGCTTTCTTAATTCCCTCCTGAATTTGTGGAGTGACTTTTGGTGGTCTCTTCATGTTTGTCTGTCGTTTAGATATCCCCTAGTCCTGAAGCCTTTCATACTTCATGACCACCCACAACCAAGAGAGCCCTTAGAAATTCCTCCAGTTCTGTGGTGTTAAGTAACATTGCTTGCTTTGGTGTGTGTGTGCGTGTGTGTACATACACATGTGTATGATTGAGGAACCATATCCTGCGTAAATTAGGACCTCATTATGTAAAAGAGACAGAATTTTTAAAAAAAAATTATAATCTAGGAAGTAATGAAAATAATGTCATTCCCCTATTGACTTCATTCGCCATGGAATTGTGAAGTGGATTCTGACCGTGAAAGCCTTACTGGGAGCACTTCCAAAGCCATCTGGCAGGGAGAGAATCAGTATTTTTAAAAGTGGTCACTCACTTTCTGAATATAATGGGCCAGGATCAGATACTTAATAGAAAAGTAAACATAAAAAACTGCTACAGATCCAAAAAAGAGAAATTTTTTTTTGTAAATTGAGGTTTTTATAAATTAATATCATAAACACACATGCTTCAGGGAATATCCTTACAGGAATTTAAAATAAGTTAAAGATTTAAAATATAAGTAAAATAGAGTCATTAAAATGTTTTAAATAAAATAATTATTAAAGAAGAATATAAAATATTTCCTGAAAGAAAGGAAGAGCTAGAAAAAGTGGAAAGGAAATGTTTTGTAATAAAAAGTTGCAATTCTCGTAGTTTTAAAGAATCCATTTGGACATGGACTCAACAAAATTGCTCTACAACATTTTCCTCATTCAAACGTATTTTAACAAAACAGGACACATCAAAGTTCTGTGATGGTCCCACTGTGGAGTCACTGCCCATCTTCATAAAACTAATGACAAACGTCTCCAAGCCTTCCTTGCCCACTTTTATTTGTGCGCATGGACACCCTCTCTATTTTCTGATGGATTCCACTTTTCTCCTTGATATTTATTTTTGTTCTCGTACCTAGTACTGCGAATTAAATTCTGTCCCTCAAAAATTTTTATGTTGAAGTTTTACACCCTTATCTGACTAGAGAAAAGTCCTTTGAGAAAATCACTGAGGTAAAATAAAATCATTAGAGTGGGAGGTTGATCAGATATAACTGATACCTTAATATCAAGCGAAGATACACCAGACACCTCTCTCTTTCCACCTACAAGAGCATAGCAAGAAAATGCCATTTGCAGGCCAAGAAAGGAGTCCTGACGAGGATGCTGACCCTATATGACCTTGATCAGGATTTCCAGCTTCCATAATAGTGAGAAAATAAATTACTATTGTTTAAGTCACTCAGTCAGTGGTATTTTGTTATGGGAGCCAGTGCAGACTAAGAAACCTAACTACTTTTACAAACTTCATTTTGACTCTGGAACAAGGACTCTAGACTATTGCTTATATTTATGAAAGCCTGTAGCCACTCTTATAGATCATCCCAAACTGTTTCCTGTTGCTTGAAATGTGAACTACATTACATTCTTTTTGTCTACACATAGCCCCAGAGTTCATTTCTAAAATCATTTTTCAGTAATTTTCTCTAGGTTTTTTTTTTCCCATGTTTAAGATAAAGATACCTAGGACTGGGGATTTAGGTCAGTGGTTCCGCTGCCTGCTTAGCAAACGCAATGTCCCATGCAAGGTCCAAAGTTCAATCCCTGGTAC